TAGCTTCCGGTAAGTAAGGAATATGAATAGAGGGAGGCTGTCCATAGACTATTTCATAGGGAGTAAATTTAGCAGAAGAGTGGTGATTCGTGTTATACCAATATTCTGCTAATGGTAGCCACAAACTCCACTCCTTAGGGTGATCACTAGCCATACACCTCAGGTAATTCTCTAAGCACCTGTTAACCACCTCCGTTTGTCCATCACTCTGAGGATGGTAAGCAGTGGACATATTCAGCTGAACATGCTGTAACCTGAATAGCTCCTGCCAAAACGAACTCAAGAAGGTAGGATCCCTATCACTAACGATTGTTTGAGGTAACCCATGGAGTCTGTAAATTTGATCCATGAACAACTGAGCGATGGAGACGGCTGTGTAGGGGTGAGCCACTGCTATAAAGTGGGCGTACTTGCTGAGGCGATCAACCACCACTAAGATCACTTTCTTGCCATGAGAGGGTGGTAATCCTTCAATAAAATCCATGGAGATGTCTGTCCAGATCCTGTGGGGTATAGGCAAAGGTTGTAGGAGTCCAGGGTAGGGTGCATTATCTGATTTATGCCTTTGGCAAATGTCACAGGAGGCTACGTACTGAGCCACATCTCTGAACATGTGCTGCCAATATACAACCTGTTTGAGCCTCCTGTAGGTCACATCCACTCCTGAGTGTCCCCCTTGCGAGCTAGAATGCCACAGAGAAATCAACCTGTCCCTCAAGGATTGATCCTTGCCAACCACCAACTTACCTCTTCGTTTTAATACCCCCTGTTGCCAAGAGTAAGTGTTGGAGTACTGGTTATTGCGCGTCAATTTTTGGATTAGCTCCTGGATGTGTATGTCCTGCTGCCAACTTTGCTGAATATCCCTGAGCAATGAAGATGTGACTGTGACTAGAGTGTAGTTTGAACCCCCCTCCTGTGGCCGTCGGGACAAGGCATCTGCTACAATATTATCACATCCCTTTTTGTATTGCACCTCATAGTCAAACCCCATTAACTTGGCTATCCACTTCTGTTGTAAAGGTGTGTGTACCCTCTGCTCAATTATATACTTCAGGCTCTGATGATCAGTTTTAATAGTAAAATGCCTTCCCACCAGATAAGCTCTCCACCTTAACACTGCAGTCACTATAGCCAACATTTCCCTTTCGTATACAGACAGAGCTTGATGTTTAGGACCCAGGGCCTTGCTGAAAAAGGCCAGAGGTCGCTTATGCTGCATCAGTACTGCCCCAATTCCATTCCCAGATGCATCAGTTTCTACAACGAATTCCTGAGTAAAATCTGGTAAAGCCAAAACAGGTGGACTGCTCATGGCTTCCTGTAAGTTCTTAAAGGCCTGAGTAGCCGCATCATGCCATTGGAACTGGTTTTTCTTGAGTAATTCTGTCAATGGTTTGGCAATCTTCCCATAGTCCTGTATGAACCTCCTGTAGTAGCCAGTGAGCCCCAAAAACCCTCTTAGCTGCTTGACTGTCTGAGGAAGAGGCCAACTTACGATAGCCGAAATCTTCTGAGGGTCTGCTTGAACTCCCTCAATATTGATGACATGGCCTAGATAATCAATCTGTTGCTGTGCAAAGGTACATTTGCTTCTTTTTGCCTTCAAGGTATGCTGCCTTAATAATTCGAACACCATCCTAAGATGTTGTAGATGTTCCTCCCAATCACAGCTGTATATCAAAATATCATCGAAGAAAACCAGAATAAATTTCCTTAAGAATGGCCTGAAAATGTCATTCATCAAACCATGAAAAGTTGAAGGCGCATTAGTCAGCCCAAAGGGCATAACCAAAAATTCATAGTGGCCGTCATGAGTCCTGAAGGCTGTCTTTTCCACATCCTCTGCCTTCATCCTGACCTGGTGATACCCAGATCTCAGATCCAGTTTGGTGAAGAACCTTGCTCCAAATAGCTCATCCAGTAGTTCCTCTATCAAAGGTATAGGGAATTTATTTTTTATAGTGGCATTGTTCAACTGTCTGTAATCAACACACATTCTCCAGGATCCATCCTTTTTCTTTACCAATACTACTGGAGAAGAAAAGGACTAGAACTAGACCTGATGATGCCACAAGCTAGCATTTCAGCCACCAACCTTTCAATCTCACCCTTTTGGAAGGCCGGGTATCTATATGGTCGCACGTTGATGGGTTCCGTCCCCTCCTTCAGAACAATTTTATGGTCATGGAGCCTTTTTGGTGGCAACCCCTTAGGTTCCTGAAACAAATCCTCATAATCATTCAGTAAGTATTCAAGTTTTACTGGATTGCTCACCTGCTGATCCTCAGTGTTCGCAGAGATGGTACAGAGAGGTAAGGTGTCTGCTGTGGGCTTCTGCACTACTCTGATTAGGCATAGTTGCGCCTCAGCGATTTGCTCTGGTTTTTGAAGTATTTTCTGCATTTTTTTCTGCTTAACCAGCTGCAGCCCTTGTCGCTTCATTCCCCTCAAAACTACCTTATGGCCAGCTTGCATAAACTCCATCCTAAGCTCCCCAAAGTTCCATTTCACATCCCCAAGGGTAGTTAACCATTGTATGCCAAGGACGAGCTCACACCCACCCACTGGTAACATGAGTAGGTCAGCCTTGAATTCCTGTCCGTGCATTTTCCAAGTGAAGTCCTTACAAAGGTCCTGCGTGGTCAACTTATTTCCATCTGCCACCTCTATCACTAGGGGATCAACCCTGTGTGTAGTTAAACCCAACTTCTGTACAACTTTAGGGTGAACGAAATTATGGGAGCTACCACAATCTATGAAAATGTTCACAGATTGTCGTCCCACATGACCCGTGACCCTCATAGTTTTAAAATTAGGAACACTCATGGTAGTCATGGCATTAAGAGAAATATGTGCCAGTTGACCTTCATCCAGTGCGTCTTCTTCTTCACTTCCTGACCCTTCCTCCTCCTCCTCTGGCATGTCATCCCAAACCTCCAACATGTGGAATTGTTTATTACCACATCGGTGCCCAGCTGTGAATCTTTCGTCACACCAAAAGCACAACCCCCTAGCTCTTTTCTCATCCATTTCTGCTCTACTCAACCTCCTGAAGGGTCTTTTGGCAATTAACTCTTTCTGCTTCTCATTACTAGGTAGGGCTGGAAAAGTAGGGAGAGGCAAGAGTGGCTTAGAATCTACCTTCCATTTGTAACCAGCTGAGTTTGTTTGGGTAGGTGCGAAAGTGCGGTTAGGATCTGGGCAACTTGTGTAAGGTTTGGCAAACCCCCTCCCTTTCTACTGCACAAACACCTTAGCTTCTTCAATTTTGGCCAGGGTTCTGGCATGCTGCACGTTCCTGGGCATGAACATTCTTACGGTCAGTTGGATTTCTGGTTTCAACCCACTCACAAAACAACTTGTAGCGTAGTCCTCGGGGAGATCCACCCTATTGAGAAGCTCCTCGAACAGGTCGTGGTACTCCTGTACTGACCCAGATTGCTTCAAGCTCTTAAGCTCTCCCATGGGATCGTCATACAAGGAGTCTCCAAACCTGGAGGATAATTCCCTTACATACTCCTCCCAGGCCGGAATCTCCCGCGTAAGTCTGGATCGCATGAAGATTTGGTGCCACTGAAGAGCCTTCCCCTCCAAATTCATGGCAGCTATTTTGACCTTTACTGAGCTTGGCGTCTCATCCACTTCAAAGAACTGCTCACACTTGTACAACCATCCTCTAAAACCCTCCCCATTGAATTTTGGGAAGTCAATCCGCGACAAGCGAGAGGGAACGTGGTAATTCCCTCTATTGCTGTTTGAAGAATCCGAATTATGAGGGGAGCCATTTCCTTCGGCCGGACCTTTCTGCGTGTGTAGTTCAACCACCAGGTTTCTTAGAACTGCCATTTCTTTTTCGAACTGTTCCTGTTGTTCCTTCAGCATGGAGCGAACGTGCTCTTCCATCTTCCTGACGTCTTGAGACCTAGTGCCCTCTGCCATTGGTGACTTAGCTGGTTCAACCCAGCTCTGATACCACTGATGCGAAAAGGTTAACCTGTCCGTACAAGGCCCAAAAATTCCATAACAAACGCCCCTCCTTAGAGGCCGACGTCCTCGACGGCCTGGTAATTTTGGGACTCCCCCTTCATGGAGGCAGAGCCTCTGCGAGATTCGAACCTGGGATGTTGGGTTCGTTGCTTGGCTCTGATACCACTGATGCAGAGGTCAGTGGAGGCCTGCGATCTGCGATCTAGAAGCTACAGAATTGGTGGAGAGGTAACTTCGAAGACCGACAGATGAAAGGAATTGTTATTATGTGGGTAACCGAGAGAATACAAGAAAGGAGAAATGTAAAGCTATTACAGAATGAATATCAAAAAGGCTGCCTTATTTCATAGCCTAGATTCCTATTTATAGCCATCTAAGTCGGCTGTCAGGCTAATGCTTAACCTGCTGACCTAGGCTGACATCACTAGATTCCCACTAACAAATTGGCTAACAAATCCCAGCTGTATAACTAACGTGTGCATGGCCTGCATGGCCATAACTAACTTTAGCTAACAACTTCAGCTGTATTTCCGTTGCTATATCCTGCGCAAAATATGGAATAACCAAACACATGCATCATTTTGGGTTACCCAAAACTTTTTTGGGAAGAACTTTTACAATACTACTGAAGCTCCATTACAATTTATTTCTATAAACTACAACCTTTTTATCGTCTGAGAGCAATTAAAAAAAAAGACTATTGCTTTGAAAGACTATTACTTTGTAGTAGTATTAAGCAATAGGTAGTCAATTCACTTTCCAAATGCATTTGTCCCATTGGTTTAGAGAAGAAAAGGGAAAAGAATACATCGTATCAATTAGGATCTTTCCATTTACTGCGTTTGTCTGTTCACATTATATTCATACATACTACCCTTTATATACCAGAGTTCAATGTTCAATAAACCCTCTATTGTTCTTGAATTCCGCCAGTAGATTGTTGCCTCAAGCATGCGTGCGAACTGAAAGCCTGGAAGCCAAGAAAGCTTGGAAGAGAAGAGAAGTTTTGGATGGCAGATCCGCCAAAGAAAGCTTGGAAGCAAAGCACGGTGCTTTCTGATCTTCCTGAAGAATTGCTGGCTGAGATTCTGTCAAGATTCCAAGTCAGGACCCTTCGCAAGTTAAGGTTAGTATGCAAACAATGGTACAACCTCTTGTCAAACCTTGAAATCTTCTGGACTTTACACCACGAAAAATCCCAGAAAAATCCAGTGCATTTTTATTTGAGCCAAAAGCACGAGAAAGAGGGAACCGGGTGTGTTACCTCCTGCAAGATACGTGGTGTAGATGGGAATGGAGTTGTCACGTTCGACCATTCTCTTCCTTCACTTGTACATGGGCGGGATGATCGTCGGGAAATTTATGAAATAGTTCCATCATTTTCACTACAATGCCGAGATTTTATATGGTTATCAAGTCCAGATATGTTTTATATATATAATCCTAATATTCCAAAACTCATCGACTTGCCAGAGGTCACCCCCAATATTGACAATTCGAACTGGATGGCAGGGGGTATTGGATTCGATCCCACCCATGGTTCGAAGTCTCGGCCGAGACCGAGACGACTCGGCCGAATCGTCACCGTCTCGGCCCCTACCGATACGATACCGTGACGAAACGATACCGAAATACTTGACGCGCCGAGAAATCGGCCGAGTCGTCACCGCGACGGATTGACTCGGCCGAGTCACACCGAGTTACTCCGAGTTATCCCGAGTCAAGACGAGAAATCAGCCGAGTCACACCGTGACGGATTGACTTGGCCATTTCTTTTGCTATTTTTAATTATTTTTATTTAGCCTACTTTTTTATATTATTAATAATTTTTAGAATATTAAATACTTTAAAATTTGCATCTCACCGAGACCGCGACCGATATGTCTAGACCGATGTGGAACGTTTCGGGCCGCGCCCGCGACCGTGACCGTGACTTTAAACCATGATCCCACCAGGAATGAGTATATTATTGTCCATTTAATCTTTGGCATGTCTGATTCTTCTACTGATGGTTGTCAACTTCCTATTGCTGGTTGTGAGATTTTGAGTTTTTGTAGTACTAATGTCTCCACCAAGAATTCTTCTAAAAGCGGTAGATGGAGAAAAATTGCTCAGAAGTGCTGTCCTTTCAAAATCGATGAAGTTATTAATCAGTGGGGAACTTTTGTCGATGGTGTCTTTTATTGGACAATTTTTGACAGGAAAAACGAGGAGAATATCCTCTCCTTGGGTTTAAACAAAGAAAAATTCGAAATAATCCCTCCGCCCCCTGCAGAAGGTTTTTACACGGTTGATGGCGATCTTGTAAGCCTGGTTGAATTAAAGGGACATCTTTGCCTTGTGGATCCAGCTGCGGAGCCTTCAGCAGTGGAAGTACGGATGTTAAGGAAGGAGTCTGAGGAGAAGATTACTGAAGCATCATGGACAAAGGAGTATAGCATTTCTCTGCCTGGTTTTGATATTGAAAGAGAATGGTTACATCCACTTGGGGATAGAGATGGTGATGGTGACTTAATTGTTTATACAACAAGTAGGATTGATGATGAAGACTCAGAACTCCCATCGGAGTATGTCCCACAATGTTCTGTGTTGTACTACAACAAACAGAACAATACTTTTGGGAGATTGGATGAGGACACAAACTTGAAGTTAGCAGCTTTATCAATTATCAGGTGGCAACTGTGTCTTTACACTGATAACTTCTACGTCTTTCGAGGCAGCTAAACTTGGCAAACCTAACACCTGCATAAGTTATTCCTTTTGCATTAGTGAATTTCGTTCTTATTATGCCTATCTATAGTGTTGTTACTGACGTTCTTAATCAATGCTAGCTGCTTGTTTCGAATGGTGGTTATGCGACTTGGAGTTGGTCTTCATAGAAACTTTGTTTAGTCTTAACTAATTGCATGGATTTGCTTCATTGAATTTCTCTATGCTAGTTATGCAATTTTACATACTCAAATGATTTTGTTATGAGGTTTCGAAGATCATATGATAAATAAAACCAGTAGACAATAAAGAACTACAATCGGCTTTGTGCAATTATGGAAAGTACACGTTCTACAACCAATTCAGAAACATGAATGTGATGACAATTTACAAGCAAAAGGTGATTAAATGAAGTAGCAACTCATGTAACTTACGATCAACAATTCCCAACCAATAGTTATTGCTGTCTTCCGTAGACTAGAGCACGTATAGGCAAGGAAAAATGAAAAAATAGTAATATAGTAAAATCGCTATAAATTAATACTCAATAAATTAATAACATTGTCACAAAACTCAAGTTCAATCAGTGGTACTCCCTGAAATTCATTTAAAATGAACAGGAAAGAGATGATTAGAGAATGAAGGAAGAGTTGAGGGAAACTTGCAGAGAAAGGAATTGATCCATTCACTCACAAGGAATCGGTTTCAATATCAGCAAATCAATGACAAGAAGTGCAGAGCCTCTTCCTACTAATACTGGTGCCTAAAGTTACGTGTAACTAACTGGTAACGTGGACCAAATCTGGAAAAATCCACTTAACAGCCCAAACGCAACAAACTACAAAGAAAACGACAAAATACTGCTAATTCCTACTTAATTCTGTTAACTAAGTAAAACAACACAGTTTAAATAATAACTCAGCATTTTTCTGTTAATTCAACTAGTTTTGTGTCATCACTCCCCTCTTGAATTCCACCTTGTCCTCAAGGTTCAAAATCTGGAAATGTAGCTTGTATGAAGTCAGCATCCTCTTAGGTAGCATGAGCTGGAGTAGAGTTGAACCACTGAACTAGCCATTGCACTGCTGCACCATTTTTCTGCTTGACCATCCTCCTGTCTAAGACTACCACTGGCTGCACCTTCAGCTGTCCCTCATCATCTAAGTATGGCAAGGCAGAACTAGGAGTCACTCCTTCTCCTACCTTCTTCAACAATGACACATGGAAAACAGGATGAATTTTAGAGCCCTCCAGTAACTTCAGTTTATAGGCAACAGTCCCAATCTTCTCTACTATCTAATAAGGACCATAATATTTTGCAGCCAATTTCATGTTCCTCCTAATGGCAACAGTAGCCTGTCTGTACGGCTGTAATTTCAGAAACACCCAATCCCCAACTTCAAATGTCATCTCTAACCTCTTGGTATCAGCATAATGCTTCATTCTAGCCTGAGCTTGTTCTAGATTTTCTTTGTGCAATTATGGAAGGTACATGTTCTACAACCAATCCAGAAACATGAATGTGATGACAATTTACAAGCAAAAGGTGATTAAATGAAGTAGCAACTCATATGACTTACGATCAACAATTTCCAACCAAAAGTTATTACTGTCTTCCGTAGACTAGGGCACGTATAGTTAAGGAAAAATGGAAAATAGCAATATAGTAAAACCTGTATAAATTAATATTCAATAAATTAATAACATCTATTGAATAATAATTTTTTCGGTCTCGATTAGGGGTAGCAATTTTTTACACGACTTGAAAACAAGACACTAACCTAATACGAAATTAATAGATTTGGATTGAACTTTTGCGAGTTTGGGTTAGAATTGGGTCGAATTTGATGAATCCAAAAGAAAACAAATCGAATTCAGGTTATCCATGGGTTCACCCGGTAACTCGTTTGTGAATTAAAAATAATTTAATAAATATAAAAAATATTTTATCTAACTAGACTTACTCACTCTTTTTTTCCCAAAGGCATTAAGTCATTAACCTCTCAACCCTAAGCCCTTATTCGATTGTTTCTTCACCATTTTTCTCTAAACCCCAGTACCTCATGCTATTGCCGCCCTTCATCTGTCACTAGCAAACATCGGGCAATAGCAATGTGGAACACCAGAACTGCCATTCCTCTCCGAGTTTAAGCATAGCTTCTGCCTTCTAATTCTCAAACTTATGTGCCTCCTCTAAAGAAATCAGATTTCAGGTCGATTACTGAATTTGTCTGGCTTGTGTGAAGCTGTAGTTGTTGTGTTTGGATAGATAGTGTATTACACTATTTTTTACTTTTATGGTGTCTTAATTTACTTCAGATCTGACCTAGGATTGTTTTAGCAAATTCTTTTTACTTGATAATGTAATTGGCCTTGTGCGGAATTAGTTCTGTTAGGAACTACAGCAGTAGATTAATAAACTGGAGTTATGTTTCAGGTCATATTAGGTCATTTGGGTGACCAATCAACCTGAAAATTTCATATTCAGGTCAGATAGCTTGACCCACTGTGGGTGGTAGGTCAAGTTCCAGGTCAACTAGCTTCCTCTTATAGATGGATCTCAACTCGACCCACCAACCCGTTACTAACCTGATTGCCACCTGTAGACACCAAATTTTTGTCAATTTTTAATATTTTCCCAGGATTTTTCTATTTAATAAGTTATTTATTTTCTTGTATTTTAATGTGCATTTTCTCATTTTTGCAGGTTTGCTTTACGAAAAGAGAAAAAAAAAACAACAAAACAACAAAAATAAAAAAAATCAAAAAAAAATCAAAAAATCATTTTGATCATTTTGTTTCACCAAATTAACTATTAACCCATTTCACACTCAATGGCCATGGACTTGTCTTTTCATTAATTGAGAAATCATCATTTTGGAAGATTCAGCACACAAGCTCCATTTTGGCTACAAGACATCTCTCGGCTCTCTCCAGGACAGAAGAAGGAAGAAAGGAAAAAATTTTCCCTCCCTCTCTCGGCTAGCTCTTAACAGACGAGAACAAAAACCAAACAAAAGAAAAAAAAACTACTTCCTTAATCTCCTCTCTCGGCTCTCACGGACAGAGGACAAGAAGAAAAAAAAAGACTCCACCCTTTTGGCTCAATTTGCTCTCTCGGCTCTCTCCCTCATCAGACAAGAGGAAAAAAAAAAAAAAAAAAAAAAAAGGGGGCTCCCTCTACACATTTTCTTCCACAAAATCCAAACACATTTGCACACAACAAGGCAGCAATCGGTTGGATTGGAGCTTGGCAATTTCATCAAAAATCTTGGCAAAGGGACCAAACTCTTCATTGAGGACAATTTGACTCCATTTAGTCACCACTTCAAACGGGAGGTACTCCTATTTTATTATTTCAATGTCAATTACGTGCTCTTATGTGCTCCTATGTGTTCCTATGTGTTTATATATCTTTATATGCTTTATTTATTTTGATTTAAATATTCATTCAAATTTTCTTATATATGTTTTAGTTAGTTTTCATCATGATTCGAGAGGTATTTAAATACCTAAAAATGTAATATATAGGATAATTAGATTTGTTTTATTATATTTTTCCCTTCTTGATTGTAGTTAGGCGCTCCCCGATGTAATAGATAGGTTGCGTGTTTATGTGGCTTATGTGTTATGTGTTTTATCCGCTTTTCTTAGGATTTTGGCATCTAGATATTATGTTTACGTGTTATGTGCTACGTGCTCTTATGTGTTTATTTGTTTTAATTTATGTTTTATTTGTTTCACTATGAATTGTTAATGCATGACGTCACCACACTAGTCCAACGCTAGTTGTGGTTTCTCCCTCCGCTTACTTGCTAGTCCAACACTAGTAAGGACTTTTAGAAATGGGCTAGTCCAACGCTAGACCCTTTAGGTCATCTTGCGCTAGATTCATCTTTGTATGCTA